AGCTAATTCATCTAATTGAACGAAATCTTGTTGTTAAATTCCCGTAGTTTTGTCCTGCTTAAGAGATGAATCATGAATTTCTAACTCCGCCTTATGTCCTGTAGTGCGCGTCTTATCATCTGAAACCGATGACTGTTTCTAGTGGAACATAGCAGACTCATCAAAACTAACATCACGGCTGATGATAATCTTAGGAGACTTTGGATCAGGACACCACAACCTAAAATCCTTAACACCCGAATGCATAACCTAGGATTATGCACTTCTTTGCTCGTGGCTCAAGTTTCCCTTAAGTAACATACGCATTTGCAGGACAATCAAATATTCTATGATTAGAATAATCCACAAGCTTATCAGACCAAACCTCCTCTAGAGTTTTACAACTAATCACAGTTGATAGCAACAGATTCGCTAAATAAAAAGATGTATTCACCGCTTCTGCCGAATATTTCTTGCCTAAACCTACAATGAATATCATACAACGAGCTTTCTCTAATAGGGTTCTGTTCAAACGTTATACCACTCCATTTTGTTAAGGTATGCGAGGGACTATACGATGCCTAACAATTTCCTCATTCTTACAGAACTCATTAAATTCTCTTCAACAAAACTTAATGTCATTATAAGTTCTAAGCCTCTAAATCAGCCTCGCAATCTGCTTCTCAATCAAAGACTTTTAGTACTTGAAAGTCACAAACACCTTATATTTATGTCTCCAAAAGTAGACCCAAACCTTTCTCGAGTAGTCATCAATGAAGGTCAACAAATATCTCGAACTAATGCCCTTCGAGACAACTTGAGAAGGTCATCAAAGATCTGAATGGATATAATCCGAAGTGTCTTTAGTCTGATGCACTACTGTACTAAAGCTGACTCTTTTCTGCTTTCTGAAGATGCTATGCTCACAGAATCCTAGTTTCCTATACTTTATCCACATAAAAGACCCTTCTTACTCAAGTAAGCCAATCCCCACTCACTCATATGACCAAATCTCATATACCATAATCTGGTAGTATCAGCTCCTGATATCGATAATACAACTACAGCCGAACCGGTAATAGTAGAACCCTGCAAAACATACAAGCTGTCGATCCTCTTTCCTTTCATAACCACTAGAGAGCCTTTTGTAAACCTAAGAACTCCACCTTTACCTGAAAAATTACACCCAAGACAATCAAGAGTGCCCAAAGAGATGAGAGTCTTCCTATAACTTGGAATATGCCTAACATTAGTCAAAATCCTGATGACTCTATCATGCATCTTAATCTTAATTGTGCCTATCCCAATAGTCTTACATGAAGCGTTATTCCCCATAAGAACAACTCCACCATTAATAACTTCATAAGTGGTGAACCAGTGAATAGGACACATACGATTGGAACAACCCGAATCTAAATCCAATCATCCATGCTCTTGTTTATATCATCTATAGCCAATAAAACATCTTCAGCAATACCAACTTCAGTGGACTTGTGATGCTCCTGGTTTCACACAAGGCTGCACTCTAAGGTGAACCCAAGGATGTCAAACCTGTCATGCACCCAACATTGTGCAACAACTTATTTCACCATCACAGTAATATCACTTTAGTGGAATCAAATAAAAAAAAAGTGTGGGTACAAACAAATAGAATAAATGTAATAATACAATGAACATAATATAGAGAAAAGATCCACTAATAAATGTAAGCATGTTCCAACAGAAGAAAAAAAATACATCTAAAATTCTGAAATAAGAGTAATAATTCTCTAAACACAAGAGTCAACTAAAAACAGTACAAGGCACTCAGCCTCAAATATGAAATACATCTCTAAAGATTGA